AGCAGCAGCAACTAGAAAAGAGATGAAACTTTCATCTCATGTGCTTTCTCTCTGTCAAATAAATAAATAAATAATCTAAAAAAAAAAAAAAATAGAACACAAGATTCAGGATAAAGATCTAAACATTTAAAAACCAGAAGAATTCTAAAAGGAAATATATATAATCTTATATAAGGAGGTGTGTGTGTGTGTGTGTGTGTAATCTTGAGGTAGGAAAGGTTTTTCTAAGCATGATATTAAATTTAGGGGCGCCTGGATGGCTCAGTCGGTTGAGCATCGGCCTTCGGCTCGGGTTATGATCCCAGGGTCTTGGGATCAAGCCCCACATCGGGCTCCCTGTTCAGCGGGGAGTCTGCTTCTCTCTCTGCCTGCCGCTCCCCCTGCTTCTGCTCTCTCTCTGTCTCTCTCTGTCAAATAAATGAATAAAATCTTAAAAAAAAAGCATGATATTAAATTCAGAGGACAAAAGGAAAAACAGTGACAGGGACGACCACATAGTTTAACTTCATTATAGAAAAGGACAAAACAAGAATTAAAAGACAAAAAACTCAAGAGACAGTAGTAGCAGCATGTATAAGTATTATAAAGTATGAATAGCCATCATATATAAACAGCTCCTAAGCATCAATAAGAACTCCCAAAAGAAAAATGAGCAAAAGGAAAAAAACAGGCAAATCATGGAAGAGGAAACAATTAGTCAAAAAACCATCTGAAATGATGTTTGATCTCCCTTTTAGGGAGAAAGGGAGAGAGATTTAAATTTTTCACCTACCAGATTGACAACTGTTAGAGTTGCTCAGGGTGTCTGAGGCAAGCCCACATTTCCTGGGAGGCAGGTCCGACTCAGTGTAGCCATTTTAGAGGGCAAGTTTGCAGTGTCTACCAATACCTCAAATGTGGACTCTCTGACCCCCCATAGCTACTGCTACGACTCTGGACTCTGCCGTTAAGAACTTTTTTTTTTTTTCTTTTTTAAGATTTTATTTATTTATTCATGAGAGACAGAGACAGAGAGAGAGAGAGAGGCAGAGGGAGAAGCAGGCTCCCAAGGAGCAGGGAGCCTGATGCGGGACTCGATCCCAGGACCCTGGGATCATGACCTGAGCCGAAGGCAGACGCTTAACCATCTGAGCCACCCAGGTGCCCTGCCATTAAGAACTTCTGACAAGTGGGCAAAAATGCCCACCCAGGAAATCCTCATTATGTAAATCCCACACCCAGTTCAGGGAAGCAATTGTCATGGAAAAAAAAATTGTTACCCTCATGATCTAACAACCACTTATAAGATTAGTTGCCACTCACACAGCGCTCCTCCCACAATTAGCATCCTGGTCCAGGTCAGTCATCTGCTGATTATAGAAGGACACCATGTGCAGATCCTGCGTCCACACCTAGCATCCATTCTGCCCTTCCCCACTCTGGGTCTCCGGTTTGGTTCAGGGCATCAGTGTGCCCAGCCAAGCACTTCCTTAACCCTCTGTGGTAGCCTGGGTGGCTTCTGACACGGTTCTCTGGCCACTGAGATCTCAGTACGTCTCCTGAAAATGTCTGGGAAAGCTTTTCCCTTCCTGATAAGAGAGTCTGGCACCTCTCCTTCCCACGTTATCTGGCTCTGGACAATGGTGTGATGGCCGCAGCTACAACCACCTTGCAACCATGAAAAAGAATCCCCCAAATGGGGCGCCTGGGTAGCTCAGTCAGTTAAGCATCTGCTTTCGGCTCAGGTTATGATCTCAGGGTCCTGGGATCCAGCCCCACGGGCTCCCTGCTCAGTGGGGAGTCTGCTTCTCCCTCTCCCTCTGCTCCTCTCTCTGCTCATGCTCTCCCTCTCTCAAATAAATAAAGAAAATCTAAAAAAAGAATCCCCCAAATGACAGTGCTACTAAATCAAAGAGAATGACTGCCTTCTTCCAGACTCCTGTTACAGGAGAAAATTGAACCAAATATTTAAGCCACTGTTTGGGTTTTTTAGTTACTTTCAGCCAAATGCCTTCCTAACTCATATATAACAGGACATATATGAAATGCAAAACAAATGCAAAGCAAAAATCACAGATTTTGCAAAATCTTGCGGGAAAAATCACAACCCTCTCCCCCCCAAATTAACATAACCTTTTGGTGGTCCAGGAATGATCTTTCACTTTTTGTCTGTTTCCATACTCTCTGAATTTTTTTTTTTTTAAACAAAAAGCATGGGTGTCTTTCGAACTCAATATTGTGGATGGGTAGTCAGGAGTAATGTTCAAAACAGTCAATCACAGTGATAGCAATGGGTATTGACCAATCAGAAGGACATCAGCTACAAACAACCAATACAGTTAGACAGTATATATATATGGTATTTATGGTACAGTTGAAGTATATGTATGGTATATGTAATTGTGTATATGTATAAATTGGACAAAATTTTGCCAGGCTCTAAGTGCTCGACATGACTGAACTCATCCAGTCCACACACATCCTTATGAGGTAGGTACCATTCCTGTTCCCATTCTATAGATGAGGAGACGGAGGCACAGAATAAGAATAGGAATGAGCAAACTATAACTATATGTGGAAATATGGATGGATGCCACAAATAAAGCAAAAGCAAAAAGAAAAAAAGGATGCTAGACACAGAAGAGCAGAGAGGTGTGGAATGGAATAGAATGGAATGGTGTGGGATGAGATGTGGGATGAAGTGGGAAATCTCAGGGTGCCTGATACACAGTAAGGGGAAGTGGTATTTCATGTGTGGAGGTTTCAGTTATGAATCCAGATGTAAAATATCTATCTCTTGGAGAGGGCGCATGGACTACGAGTTAAGAATAGCCTTTGGAGCCAGGTGACATGGGTTCTAAATTTGGCTGTGCTATTTATTACTAGCTGTGTGACCTTGGACAAGTCACTTCACCTCTCTGTTTCTGAGCTTCTCTGCTCATTTGTAAAATGGGGATAATAACTGTTCCCACCTCATAGGGCTATTATAAATATTAAGTTACTGGAGCACCTGAGTGGCTCAGTTGGTTAAGCGTCTGCCTTCAGCTCAGATCATGATCCTAGGACCCAACATGGGCCCTGCTCAGCGGGAAGCCTGCTTCTCCCTCTCCCTCTGCCCCTCCCCCTGCTCGTACTCTGTCTCTCTCATAAATAAAATCTTTAACAAAAAAATATGAAGTTACTTTGAGTATGTAAAGCACTTAGAAAAATGCCCAGCACACAATAATCACTAATCAAAGTAACATAATAATAATGTTTTAAAGTCTGGTGTTTTTTTAAGATTCTATTTATTTATTTGACAGAGAGAGAGAGAGCACAAGCAGGGGGAGCAGTAGAGGGAGAAGCAGGCTTCCCGCTGAGCAGGGAGTCCGACTCGTGGCTTGATCCCAGGACCCCGGATCATGAACTGAGCTGAAGGCAGCCGCTTAACCGACTGAGTCACCCACGCGTCCCATTAATGTTCTAAAATTTGTAAAAATACTGATCTAGTTGGAACCACAAGGCCTCCTGGGTCCAAATCCCGACTTGGCGGGGCGCCTGGGTGGCTCAGTCAGTTGTGTCCAACTCTTGGTTTCGGCTCAGGTCATGATCTCATGGTCTGCTCGGGACTTTCTCTCCCTCTCCCTCTGCCCTTCCCCCACCCCCAGTCTCTCTCTCTTTCAAATAAATAAATAAATCTTTAAAAAAAATCCCGACTTGGCCACTTTCTCAGTGTAATTTTTGGGCAAGTCACTTTTCCTCTCTATACATCCTTCTTTGTAAAATGAGAAAAATATTTCTGATCTATGTGGTTATGAAGGTTTAATGAGATCTGTTTGTCAGAGGAGACACAGTGGAGGCC